GCACCAGAGACCTTATTCAAAAATTCTAGAATTCTAGAATTTCAGAATAAAAATATATGAATTGATTTGATATTAGTATAGATGGAATTTTAGAATTTTCAGAATTCTAGAATTTAGGAATAAAAATATATGAATTGAGGGTGAGGGTAAGCATGAGGGTGTGTGTGAGTGTGAGGGTTAAACCTAACACACTGACGCTCACCCTCAAGATTTTTATTCTTAGATTCTAGAATTCTAAAAATTCTAAAATTCCATTTATACTAATATCAAATCAATTGGTATATTTTTATTCTTAAATTCTAGAATTCAGCGCAATGTACACCTCGTTATATGAAAATATTGTTAAGAAGGTATTGATTATATCTGTATCATTATGTGTATATTAAGAAGGATAAAGGTAGAATTCTATGAGAATTCTAGAGTATTAGAAGAGAGCCATGTCTCTCTGAGAGACAAAAGAGTCCACCACGAAGTCTCGAACATTGAAAAATATTTTCGAATGGCTTATATAGATGATATGCGAAGAACGATAATGAACAATTGAATGTTTCCTTATGTGGCAATAGCTGATTCAGATTCATTATCTTCCACTAGCCAGCAGAGCCAAGATATGTGAACGTGAACAAAATTTATTATGACTTCTTCTACGGTGTTCTATGATTTTAAAATAGCAGATGTCGTTTACAATGGTATTCCGATATATTTAGGGCTCGTGCAGTTAGTCAACATTCCATTTGGCGCGGAGCACTGAATGGCAGTCTAGTGCTCTCATGTGATGTCGGATAAACTTTTGTCACGCTTTTCTAATATGTTGACCCTGTTAATTCGGAACAATAAGCTTAGTGAAAAAAAAGGATACAAGTAAAGGGATATGACTATAAGCATATAGGTATGGGGTATAGTTGTACAGACAGGTTTGTGGTTATAGGGATAAGGATATAGATATAGGGTTATAGTTATAACGCTATAGGAATAAGGATGTCTATAAGGGTATAGGTGTGGAGTATAGTTATAAGGGTATAGATTGAAGTGTATAATCATAGCATTCTAGTCATACGAGTATAATGTATGAAGCCTTTAATACAATAAAATGCATTATAAAAAGTAATGTGCGTAATTACATGATAATATAATCTATTTCATGTATTATAATCCGTTGATATAAATAATGCATTATAGTGCGTTAATATATTCATGCATTGTAATAGGTTGATACAAAAGATGCATTATAGTGCGTTAATATATTCATGCCTTGTAAAAGGTTGATACAAAAAATGCATTATAATATGTGAAAGAGATTACATTATCACGTAATTGTATCCATTACGTTTCTATTGGGAAATGATGCATTGCAATGTTCATTATTTTGAAAAATTGGCTACATGTGGTAACTCGTCCGGTTCTATTCAGCTATGATGAAAACAAGGAAAAATCAATGCTTCTGAAAGTTTTAAGTGTAACAATTTAAGTTATTTAAAATATGTCTTCGTTTTTGTCTTGAATGTTTGTCGAATCTGAAAAATAACTATGATAATATTTAATAATATTAGGCTTCAACTATTTCTAATATATTGTAGATCAATAAACCAAATGCTGTTACGAAAAGTGCAACCATTTCAAACCTTGAATAACTATTTACCTGTTTTGAATTAGTGATTAAATTTATTTTACTATCTATAAAAAAAATGTTTAGATAGTTACTATAATGTTTAAATAACGATAGATGTTTAATAGCTATTTACACGAAGAACTATCATACAAAATTTTGTTTGAAATAATGTTTAAATGGCGCTAGGCTTTTAGTAGCTAGTTGCATCAATCATCAGCTACTTTTAATTATTAAGTAGCTGTATATGATTCTTAAAAGCATCTCTTTTGAGAAGCTACGGAATGCAACATTTAATAAAGTTTCCTTTTATCTTCTATAAAGAAAAAAAACCATTTGTTCTTACCGGTATCTTAATTTTCTGTTCTGTATGTGTGACTGCGTAAGTGCGCGTAATTGCACAACACAGTTACAAGAAAAAAATGAAAGAAAAATTGGAGTTTATATAATCTAAACATACTCAACAACAAGATGCAACACACGCAGGTCATTCGTAATGGTTTGTTCTTCGAAAAAACAATCTACCGTACGGCGAGTGAAAAGACATCTTCCTTACTGTAAACTCTTGACTTCTGCTATTCAATGGTGGCATCTGGAGAACGAAAGAAATAAAGTGACAAGTGTGTTGCTTATGATCAATTAGATAGAACAATTCGGCAAATGTGGATCTAGACCTTACTCAAAATACAGCAAAAATGCATAAGAAAAGTGTTGACGATGGGTGTTAAGTTTGATCTACTCAAAAAAAAAAGAGGATTCTTTCTCTTGAAAAGATATTTTCTCGATCAGCAGAATCTGCTGTAAATAAAGAACGAATGAGTTGAGCATGATTTCCCTCAATTCTGCAAAATACGGTTTCAACAGAATTGACTAGTTTTTCAGAAGCAATGGCTTCTTTCTACTAACTTTCAAATGAATTTTATTTCATTTTTAGGTCAATCATAAATACAATCAGTTTCTATTATTGAGAGTAAGTTTTGAAAATCAACGCTTAACATCAAATGAATCTTGGTATTCTTTTCAATTGCCATTTTTAACCAAATACACTCTCTTTCTCTTCTATTTTTAGTTTCGCTGATTTTAATTTTTTTGCTGTATTCAGCTAACATATCTATAAGCATTGAAAATAATGTTTATGAATAATACGAGAAAAATGTCATTTGTTCTATGAGAAATAGCTAATGAATTGTCATTCTACTTTAGACATCCAGACATGAAACAGATTTTTTTCTAAATAAATATGCATATTTTAAGTATCAAGTTGCGACGTACATCGTATGATATATTTTTGGCTTTGGATAACTGTATTAGTAGTGAGAGAAATCTTTTTTAATGTACAGCTTTCAATATGTCTGTCATGGTTTACACATAAAGGTTTTTGTGAAAGGAGTGAGTTAGTGAAAGTTAATTTTTATTTTAATTTGTTTACTTCAAACAATTTTTCCACGTGTAAAACTTCAATTTTCCATTACTTGTTTGTGTAGATAGACACGTTTCAGTCTGAATAAGATCTACATGAATGTATCACTGTCGTATTTATGTACTTTACTGTGTACATGAAGATTTCGTTTATTGGAACTCCGTAGGATAGGGGCGAGTAAGAGTGAGGATATGAGGTGAATACGTCATCCTCAAGCATCCTCGCTCTCACTATTTCATGTGATTACAATCTATTGATGCATGTGTATGCCAATTATCGAAAAAAAGCAAACTGCATTCAAGATAGCTCTGCTAGGATTTTGTGATCCTTGTTAGATGTGGGTGTTCTTTATTTACGCAACACCGACTCTTACATGCACACCTACAAAAACTTAGTGATCAAGACGATTCCGAAACATTGCATCATACTGTGAATCAGTTTATGAGCTCGTTGGAAAAATAAGAATATAAAAAAAAGCTTTTAATAAATCGATCCAATGGATGCAATGATGTGTAAACAATCAAGGTAACTACTTCGAACATTTGTTAAAATAAAATCGTGTAAATTTGTTTCTATATATTTTTTTTTCGTCAAGTCGTCACTAATTTTCCTATGATCTGTATATTATGATATCATCCGAACGATGATGAAATATTGTAGAAATATAGAGCTTGATTTGGACCATCTGTATATATAGACAGAAAATTTCCTCGAGCCTTCTACAAGATTTTATAGTGTCGGTACCACTACTTTTAGTGTGACCTGAGTTGATTATAGTCAACATTATTTGCTTCATGCCACGTGAGAAAATATGACCTGTGAGTACCTTATCGATAACCGATTTTTGTCTGATATGACTCACACAAAATATTTCTTTTATTTTCATTGAATTAAACTGAAGGAATATAGCGATAAACGTCTACTTCATCTAGAGAAAGAAAAATATTTCCTTTCTTAAAATTGACTCATACTTTTACTTGTACTTTGATCCCAATGTTTTCTAGATAACAGACTGTTATTGATGACTAGACAGACAAGAAAAATTTTTATTAACATCAATGTTAAAATATGGATATCTAGTCTAATCAAACATACTAAAAAGGTAATCAAAGTATAAAGTATGTTGCATCACCATGGTTTGTGAGAAGAATACTCGATTTGTGATGTAATAAGATATATAATTACTCGAACTTGAAAAGATATTCGTGGAGAGTTGTTTCGAGCATTTGTCACGACCAGTGCTGAACCTATAGCTTTCGAATACAAAAAAAAATTCAAATTTTAGATTGATGTAGAATTATTGATCTTGAGTAGATGAATCTAACGCATTCCTTATGATTGAAATTTTATACATTTTTCAAAGCACTTTAAGTGCACCTTTGAATTTCACTGGTTGTTAATCAGATTTGTGAACTATTAGTGTTATTAAGTATTATATAGGAATATGTAGATTGCTTGTCTCTTTCTAATGATGAAAACAGCCGATCAATAACTATTTCTGTTGAGGATTTTTTTCACAGAACGTTCACTCTTCTTTTATTTTGTAAATGAACATTAAAACGAAAAACAAGTAATTTTTATTCTTTTGCTTAGAGTTTTTAGTAAAATAATCTATTTTGTAATATTATTGACATTTGACATTTAAGTTTATTTCAATATCAACAATTTATTTTGATCATTGATTTCGAAACTAAGTATTGATATTCTCAAGGGAAAATTTGTTATGCTTTTTTTTAACGAATATATAATGAATATGTTTTTTTATGAAATGCATATTTCATCTCACGAACAAACAAACTGATCAAAATACATGAAACATAGAAGAATATATTCTGGTCATTATATTTTATTTCCAATGCTTAAAAGACTTTATTTCAAATGAACAAAAATATTCTTTTAAGCATGAAGTTCTTAATCAGTATATATATTTACATATTGTTACTTCGAAAAGAATTGAATTGATGTAATTGTTTATCAATGCCTTGAATAGCCATATGAACTACCATAACTGAAATATGTAAAATGGCTAGATCCATGACCCTGTGGCAATCCACCGAATCCATGACCGTGTGCCAATGCACTAGATCCATGACCTCCGAATCCAACAGATCCATGACCGTGTGCTAATCCACCAGATCCATGACCTCCGAATCCACCAGATTCATGGCCATGTACCAATACACTAGATCCATGACCTCCGAATTCACCAGATCCATGACCGTGTACCCGTCCACCAGATCCATGACTTCCGAATCTACCAGATTCATGACCGTGCGCCAACGCACTAGATCCATGACCTCCAAACGCACCAGATCCATGACCGTGTGTCAATCCACCGAATCCATGACTATGTGCCAATCCATCAGATCCATGGGCGTGTGCGAATCCACCAGATTCATGACCGTGTGCGAATCCACCAAATCCATGGGCCTGTGCAAATCCACCAGATTCATGGCCGTGTGCGAACCCACTAGATCCATGGCCATGTGCAAATCCATCAGATTCATGGCCGTGTGCGAATCCACCAGATCCATGGCCATGTGCAAATCCACCAGGTTCATGGCCGTGTGCGAATCCACCTGATCCATGGCCATGTGCAAATCCACCAGGTTCATGGCCATGTGCGAACCCACCTGATCCATGGCCATGTGCAAATCCACCAGATTCATGGCCGTGTGCGAATCCATGACCTCCAAATCCACCAACTCCAGGATAACCTCCAACGACTTGACCAATGGTTGGGTTTGGATTTCCACCTACTACATTATCAATATATTCTCCCAATGGACCTACATTAAAAGAAGTTATTATGGAAAATTTGTTTTTTTTCAATTGATAGTTTTTATGTATTTTTCATTATTCATTCGAATAAAAAAATAAATTACTATTGAGATTTACGACAAAAATTGAAAGCTTATTAGAGAACATGACAAAACTATTATTAAGATAACACTTTGAAAATTATAAATGAATCAATCGAAAGTGTTTATATATGTAGTGACTACCAGAATTACTCAACAAGATTTATTTTTGAAATTTTTCCACTTTATTAATCTCAAAAAAAGAATCCAAATAGTGATTCGAATGACAACAAAACATACACTATTAGAATATAAGACAATAAAATGATTACTAGATTCTAAAAGGTAGGGTTTCCTAAAAAGAGAACCATCAGTTTTTCAACACCTAGAAGGCACATGTTTAATTTTTTTCAGACTATGCAATATCATAGAAGAAACAATTCTCTACAAACTAAGACGTTTTCAAGCTCTGTACAACTCTTTTTTCTACTGACATACAACAATCTGATTGAAAATTCCGAATTGAATTTTTCACAGAAAATAATTAATAGAAAAGTACTTTCATACACTTTTGAAAGATTACTGTATGTCAGCAAAAAAGGGGTCGTGGAAAACTGGGAGATAGCTCATTTTTTTGTAAAGAATTCTTTGTTCAATCGTTTTGTGAAGTTTGCACAAAATTATATTTGTGTGTACTAGGTCCTAAAAAGCTCATGATTTGGTTTTCTCGGAATCCAGTCTTTTGAAATCTGGCAATTATTTTATTTTTATATATTCTTGTTGTGTATGTTTTTCTCTATTCGAATCACTATTTAAATTCTCTTTTGCGATTAAGACAGCAACAAAACATGAAAATAAGCCTTGTTGGATAGTTTTTGTAGTCACCTAATATATATAAGAATAAAAATGAGAAAAAAATTATATTCTCAAAATATTAGCAATAATATTTTATAATCCTTACTGTTTAATCCACCAGGAATATTTCGTTCAATCCACATATCAGATTCCAGTTCTCTCATTATGTCAGGATTGCCACCATACATATTTAATGTATTACTAAATGCGTAAAGTATTGAAGAATATTTCTCGTTTTTAATCAATGAATAAAAACTGATTTGATTATATCTCTTTATATACGATCTTATTGTTATCGTAATATGACAAATATGAGTAATAGAAAATTACTCATCTGTAGCCAAAAATTACATATCGAGTAGGTAGAGTCGTACAAACAAAAGCAAGCTTGGAAATTTCTTTTTTGTTCATTTCTATTGATTTGATATGCATATTTACGCACATACATACAACGATATTATTTTGAAGGTAAACTTGGACTTTATCTGTTTTTTTTTCTATGAGACTTTTCCTTGGCTTAAATGAGTAAATATGTTTCGCACATAAAGAATATAAAAATAAACATGATACATCATGAGTAATTTTTTCCTTGTCAAATACATTATGTTATTCTCTCATTTGCTCACTAATTATGTTTAACAAAATAGTATATTTTCATTAATTCATCAAATAAAGTAAAAGCAAGTGTTTAATATTTTTAAACGATTAGTGATTATAAAAGATTATCACAAACCAAAAAACTGTTTTAACAACAATACTTAATAATTAATAAAAAATATTTAGTGAATATTATTTATTCTATATGATGGTTTGAAAAAGAAAAATAGATGAATCTTTTGATTTTTATATTTGAATATTTTCTAATGAAATAAATATTAATTCAAAAATATGAACAGAGAAAAATAAACAATGATCTTACGCTAATAGGAAAAAAATGTTCTACATAAAAATGAGAATAGATCAGATTTCGATTATTCCAATGAAAATATTCTTTTCGATATTAAATATATCTAAATTATTTATTAATTTTAAGCATGAATTATCTTTATAAATTTCAAAAACTAATGTTACAACAATCATAATATGCATATTTTAACATTTTACAAATTAAAACTAAATAAAAACATATTATTGTTTAAGATGAAGAAAAACAATAGAAATATTGATTAATTGATAAGAAAAATTACTCATTGTATTTCATTAAATTCAGTCAATAACAATAAATAATTTCCAAGTATATATACCTCCGAAAAGTAAAAGTTAGCCACTTTATTTTGGGTATATCGTTACTATAACAGCATATTTTTAAAATAATAATACCATATTCGGAAAGCGCGTAAAATTCTCTACTACCCTGTATATTTATATTTTGGTTTTCACTTTTGAATGATCAACATAAATTGAGTATAATGAAGACACCCTGATATCCAGATTCCCACAGACATGATTTTGTCACTGTAATCAAATTAAGTTTTTTAGATTTTGCGTCACCATAGAATATTTGTTTTGAAAGAACAAATATATATTCTGATAGCGCTTGAAATTCTCTATGTTTCTACATATTTGTTAACTCTCTTACATTTATCTATTATAAAAATAATATAAGGACAATGAAGTCATCTCAATTGACAATTTCGAAAAATCTTGTGTATGATATATTTTTTCGAACTATAAGTACAAAGAAATTTATTTTTTTATAAAAGCGATTATTTATTTTGATAGAGCTTCAAATTCTCTGCCACCCTATATATTTTTGTTTTATCCTATATTTGCGTGTTGAATAATAAATTGAGTAATATTTAAACATCCTCGTTGATCACGCCGTAATAGAAGACCACAGATCTTTTATTATGATCAAGCGTATAAAGTTTTCAGAGGAAAGGGTCTTCTATTGTGTCTTATTTATTTTCATAATTTTTAATTAAAAAGGTTTTTCAGAAAATGAATACAGCTTTGGAGATTTGGGAAGATATTTTTGGAGTTCTAAAAGACTGTAAATAATGTTGACCTCAATCTTTTAAGATGTTCAGTTTAAAACTCTGAAAAACTAGGTATACCTTCACGTAAATATACTAATTAAAGTTCCAATTTTCCGAGAAATTAACTAATTAAAGAGAATCTTCTAAAACGAAGAGCTCTTCTATGGTGAAGAGGGATTTAGTCATTTCACTCCAAGACTCTATTGTTATACATTTTCTTTAAGTCAACTCGCTCAGTTTTAATTCATTATGTTGAACGAGGTCAAACTATCAACCATCAACATTATATCAATATTTCTTTTGCAGCCCGCTATTAACGAAATCAAGGCTCAAATATCTTTCTTTGGTTTTTGTGCAATTAAAGTTCAACAAGATAACGGCACATCACATATTCATGAAGATATGCTCAATTATCTTGAATCAAAAGACATAATGATGATGTTACACATGTTTAATTCTTCAGATCTATCACCATGTGATTTTCAGTTATTTGACTTGGTCAAACAAAAACTTAGTGATCAAGACGATTCCAAAACATTGCATATCGGTATGTATAGAAAAAACATTATTTACTTTATGCTGTGTCAGAAAATATGACTTGTATGCACCTTATCGACAACTGAATTTCGTCGGATATGACCCATACGAAGTCTTTCTTTTATTTTCGTTGAATTAAACTGAAGGAATATAGCGATAAACGTCTACTTCATCTAGAGAAAGAAAAATATTTCCTTTCTTAAAATCGACTCATACTTTTACTTGTACTTTGATCCCAATGTTTTCCAGATAACAGACTGTTATTGATGACTAGACAGACAAGAAAAATTTCTATTAACATCAATGTTAAAATGTGGATATCTAGTCTAATCAAACATACTAAAAAGGTAATCAAAGTATAAAATGTATTGTATCACCATGGTTTGTGAGAAGAATACTCGATTGGTGATATAGTAAGATATACAATTGCTCAAACTTGAGAAGATGTCCGTGGAGAGTTGTTTCGAGCATTTGTTACGACCAGTGCTGAATCTATAGCTTTCGAATACAAAAAAAAATTCAAATTTTGGATTGATGTAGAATTATTGATCTTGAGTAAACGAATTCAATGCACTACTTATGATTGAAATTTTATACTTTTTTCAAAGCACTTTAAGTGCTCCTTTAAATTTCACTGGTTGTTAATCAGATTTGTGAACTTTTAGTGTTATTAAGTATTATATAGGAATATATAGATTGCTTGTCTCTTTCTAATAATGAAAACAGCAGAAAGATTCTTTCAAAGAATGATCAGCCTTCTTTCATTTTGAAATGAACATTAAAACGAAAAACAAGTAATTTTTATTCTCTTGCTTACAGTTTTTGGTAAAATAATCTATTTTGTGATATTATTAACATTTGATATTTAATTTTATTTCAGCATCAACTATTTATTTCGATCATTGATTTCGAAACTAAGTATTGATATTCTCAAGGGAAAATTTATTATGCTGTTTTTTAATGAATATATAATGAGTTTGTTTTTTTATGAAATGCATATTTCATCTCACGAACAAACAAACTGACAAAAATACACGAAACATTGAAGAATATGTTCTGATCATTATATTTTATTTCCAATGGTTAAAAAACTTTATTTCACATGAACAAAAAAATTCATTTAAGCATGAAGTTCTTGATTAGTATATATATTTATATATTGTTATTTCGAAAAAAATTGAATTGATGTAATTGTTTATCAATACCTTGAATAACCATATGAACTACCATAATGGGAATACTGTGAATGATTAGATCTATGACCATGTGACGATCCACCGAATCCATGACCTCCATGTCCATGACTTCCGTGTCCATGACCTCCGTGTCCATGACTTCCATATCCACCAACTCCAGGATAACCTCCAACAATTTGACCATAGGTAGGGTTTGGATTTCCACCTACTACATTATCAACATATTCTCCCAATGAACCTACATTAAAAGAAGTTATTATGGATATTCGTTTTTTTTTCAGTTGATAGTTTTTATGTATTTTTCATTATTCATTCGAATAAAAAAATAAATTACTATTGAGATTTACAATAAAAATTGAAAGCTCATTAGAGAACATGTCAAAATTATTATTAAGATAATACCTTGAAAATTATAAATGAATCAATCGAAAGTATTTATAGATGTAGGGACTATCAAAATTATTCAACAAGATTTATTTTGAAATTTTTTCCACTTTATTAATCACAAAAAAAAGAATCCAAATAGTGACTCGAATGAAGAAAAACATACACTATAAGGATATAAGACAATAAAATGATTACTAGATTCTGAAAGATAAGGTTTTCTGAAAAGAGAACCATCAGTTTTTCAATATCTAGAAAGCACATGTTTTTTTTCAGACTACGCAATATCATAGAAGAAATAGTTTTCTACAAACTAAGACGTTTTCAAGCTCTGTACAACTCTTTTTTCTACTGACATACAACAATCTGATTGAAAGTTCCCAATCGAGTTTTTTTTATAGAAAATAATTAGTAGAAAAATGGTTTCATAAACTTTTGAAAGATTACTGTATGTCAACAAAAAAAGGTCGTGGAAAACTGGGAGATGGCTCATTTTTTTGTAAAGAATGCTTTGTTCAATCGTTTTGTAAAGTTTGCACAAAGTTATCTTTGTGTGTACTAGGTTCTAAAAAACTCATGATTTGGTTTTCTAGTAACTCAGTGTTTTGGAATCTGGTAGTTATTTTGTTTTCATATATTTTTGTTGTATGTTTTTCTCTATTCGAATCACTATTTAAATTCTCTTTTGCGATTAAGACAGCAGCAAAAACGAAAATAAGCCTTGTTGAATAGTTTTTGTAGTCACCTAATATACATATAAATGACAGTGAGAAATAAATTATATTCTCAAAATATTAGCAATAATATTTTATGATACTTACTATTTAATCCACCAGGAATATTTCGTTCAATCCACATATCAGATTGCAGTTCTCTCATTATATTAGGATTGCCACCATACATATTTAATGTATTACTAAATGCGTAAAGTATTGAAGAATATTTCTCGTTTTTAATCAATGAATAAAAACTGATTTGGTTATATCTCTTTATATACGATCATATTGTTATTTTATTATGACAAATATGAGTAATAAAAAACTTTTCAACCATAACCAAAAATTACGCATTGAGTAGGTGAAGCGGTATAAACAAAAGACATACCATGAAAATTTCTTTTTCTATTATCATTTCTGTTGATTTAATGTGGATATTTACATAAATACATGCAACGATATTATTTTGAAAGTAAAGCTGGGCTTTATCTCTTTTTTTCTATGAGATTTTCTTCGTGGCTTAAATGAATAAATATGTTTTACATGTAAATAATATATGAATAATTATGACGTGTCGTGACTCATATTCTCCCTTGTGAAATACGTTATGTTATTCTCTCATTTACTCATTAATCATATTTAACAAAATAGTACATTTGCATTAATTCATCAAATAAAGTAAAAGCAAGTGTTTAATATTTTTAAATGATTATTGATTATAAAAGATTATCACAAACCAAAAAACTGTTTTAACAACAATACTTAGTAATAAAAAATATTTAGTGAATATTATTTATTCTATATGATGGTTTGAAAAAGAAAAATAGATGAATCTTTTGATTTTTATATTTGAATATTTTCCAATAAAACAAACATTAATTCAAAAATATGGACAGAGAAAAATAAACAACCCTAGTCGAACATCTTGTAAGCAGGATCTTGGTCAAGAACTTGCTTACAAGATGTTCGATTAGGGAATGGTCTTTTGCTAATAGTGAAAGAATGTTCCACATAAAAATGAGGATAAACCAGATTTCGATTATTTCAATGAAAATATTCTTTTCGATATTAAATATATCTAAATTATTTATTAATTTTAAGCATAAATAATCTTTATAAATTTCAAAAATTAATGTTATAATAATCATAATATACATATTTTAATAATGTACAAATTAAAACAAAATAAAGACATATTATTGTTTAAGATGAAGAAAAACAATAGAAATATTAATTAATTGATAAGAAAAATTACTCATTGTATTTCATTAAATTCAGTCAATAAAAATAAATAATTTCCAAGTATATATAAGAAGAAATTTGGAGTATTTACTGTCATTTTAGTTATACATCGATTATAAAATTCAGCTATTGAAATTTTCCAATTAGTTTAATAATTCTATTGAAAAAATGATTAACACAATTCTTATAAGATTAAAATATGAAACACAATAGAAGTGTTGATGATATCAATTAGATCAAAGACACATTTTAATATTAATTTCATATAACGTATGGTAAGAAATAATTCGATATATGTGAAGAAAGAAACTTGACAACAAATATCATATCACTTTAAAGATATTAATAATAATATTGTCTTGATTTTTCTTAGTTATGGACGACTTTGACTCATACTCGTCCTTCTCCATCAAATCTAGTAATGTAATAAATACTAATCTAGTAGTGGTCAACTATTTCTATGCCCAACTATAATTAGATACATTCATATTTATATTTTTACTAGCTTTAAAAGTTTTTACATAGCATACAAAAATTTATAGATGAGACTGAGGCTACTTTCTGTTTACACCATTAATCAACCTATGCTATTATTATGTTTTCCTCGTTCTTTTTTGAATATCAACTAAGAAAACATTATATTTATCATTTATCAAAAAGAGTAAGCTCATTATTTCGACATTTTTCTTTGAAGGCTTTTTTATTTCAATATTTTTTTTTTGAACATTATAATAGAATAAATTTTTTATTTTATTCTACTTATCACATATGCAATGGTGAAATATCTTCGAATGTATCTATTCTCTATCTATATATTTCCAACATGCGAAGACATAAATGTTAAAACAATAATTGTAGTAGTCATTGATAATAAATAATTAAACTATTGAATATGTAATGAACATCAAACTAAACTAAATACTAACCAATTGTAGGAATAAAAAGACAATATTTGCTGGTACAATATAAATAATTATTAAGTCAAATTAAATATAAATTCGAAAAAGTACAGCTAAATCTCGTCGACTTCGATACTAAAACATGCTTGCAATCATCTTGCAATATGATTAGAAAGCGATAAGCATGGAATGAATTTGTTGTTATTCATATGCAATTTATTTAATTACATAGAAGAACTAAATTATTTCAATATATTTCTTCTGGTTTTTTTTTAATAAATTATTCGATGTTCCTTCTTCGGGTACACAATTTTTGTTCTTTTCGTCATTTTTAAAATTCTGCATCTTATGATTTGAGAAATGAGAAAGATCGATTAAAATTATTTCCTAGAGCACTTAAAAAAAAAAATTGTCTGTAATTTTTCATATATATTATACAAGTGTTTGATATAAATAATCAAACAATGAATTGACGAAGGTCTCTCTCTAAAGATCTAGACAAAGTTTAGCACGAGTCTGCACACTACCCTAAAGTATGCCGCATTCTACGATACATGCCTTATGTAGGAGCAAATTCTATTCAGCAACGACACCATTTGATTGTCTGCAGTACCTACGATGCATTCTGGATATACAAGATGATGCGAAATTTTGTACTGAAAGTCTTTCTAAATATCACGTGTATCATGCAAGCGATTTAATTGTCTCTTTCTTTAAAACTTTATTTCATATAATTTGATTTACAACAAATGTTTCAAAATGATTCTCATTAACTGAAATACATGAATCCATTCATTTCCTTTATCGGTTCTTATTATAAATTGAACCAAATCTTTATATATATCTTATACATATAGATTTTCATTCTATGTTTATCGATAAATGATTCAAATGAAAGAAGACATCATCCGAAAGAGAAACGAATTCTCCATATGGTTGATATTTTCTAACATTGGTATCCAAAATGATGTAATTTCAATTTTATCTTGTAAGTCTTCTTTGTGAAGTTGTTGGACAAATTGCACTTTGTATGACTTCATTAGAAGATATTCAGTCACACTTTGGTCTGCTATTATTTGTGGAATGAAGCAGGCTGTTGCAGAGAGAAATCGCAACAGTGGAGGTATATATTCTTTCTTGTTCCCCCCGTTATTCAAAATTATCCTGTATTACCGAGTAAAATTACTAAGAGTTTTTGAATTTTTCGCTATCTCTATGAGACATCTTCTTATACACCCACTGCACCCTCCCGTCAATCTTGAGATCCTCGCCCAGTCGTTGCTTACAGCAACTCGAACACTCGATAGTAACAAATATTCACAAGCGTCATGAATATTGTCGATTTAATCTTTTCTAATTTTTGAAGATCTTTCAAATTGTTGTCCATTTTTGCATTTTTCCTTTGGCAACGATAGATGACTTAAATCTGGCCATTAACAAAACTGTTTCCAGCCTAATGTTTGTAAACACAGGCATTTATCTGCAAAATATACAAAACAAAACTTCAAACAATCCCTTATAATATTATTGAAAAAAATATATAAATCGCTTAAACTGTTTAAAAGTTATTTATGTAAATTTCCCAAGCAGATAAAACTTTCTGAAAACGTGTTTAAGCATCCTAAATGCTTGTTCAGTTTGAGTATTTCACATCTGATCAGAAAACACCAAAACTGACTACTTTCATTATAAAACGTGCAGCAAGACGCCTAAAACGGGCAACTTTTCCATCTGAAAGAAAGTGCAAAATTTTTTTCCGTAACAATTTTGACGTATTTTGCAGATAATAATTACTTTTTTTTAAACGCATCGTATATTTCAAACATATTGAAAGAAAACTTTTTGGACGTTTTTCACATGACAAAGTTACTTTCTTAAAGCATCTTCATGCATGTTTTATAATGAAAGTAACTGGTTTTGCTGTTTTCTCTTTGGACATGAAATACTCAAACGGAAAATGCATTTAGGATGTTTAAATATGTTTTCCAAAATTTTGTCTGCTTGGGTTTAGCATATAGGCAAAGATTTCTTTTAGAAAAATCGATATGAAAAGCATTTTTATAAACTGATTTTCATCTCTTTACAGTATAAGTTTGGTGCTCTTAGGGATTTTCATGAGATCGACTAAGTATAAAAACACATTTCGGTATTATGAAAAGAATTCAACAAGCAGTTTTTGATCAATGAATTATAATATTTCATGTATAATTTGAAATGAATTGGAAATAACTTTAGATGATTCTGATAATTAGTTTTGCTAATTTTGTCTGTTAGTTATCAATTACAACTTATTGACATTATTTAATATTTATCCTTCAACTACAAAGTCTCGCATAAAAACCTTATTAGTCAAACTTCGGTGAAAAGAATATTTCTTATCTTATTAAGATTTGGATTGTTGTTCAATAAATATTAACTTATTTATTACAGACTCAGAATATTCATTGAGGACTGACGAAAAGGAACATTCAAATCCTCATAAAACTTTTATTTAAAGGAATCGTAGAAAGTGAATATAACTTTTGACAAGCCTCAGTCAACATAATCAATGCGAAACAAAAAATAAAACGTTTCGACAGTGTCGACTGAAACGTACCTCGTAGGATTTGTTTAGATTAAGCTGTGAATGAGTCAATTCTTATGCAGCATAGCTCATCATTCTCTGACACATGGTTTGTTTTATTTTTTTTTTATATTAATTGTAAAAAGATAAAATGCAATCACCACTTCGTTTTCTTGCGTTTGGTGATTCTTCGACAGCTGGTTTTTGTAATTACGGTTTATCTAATCATCCTTATGCAATAAATTTATTTTCATCTGTAAATATTCCAATTATTATTGATCAAAAAGGAATACCTGGTGAATGTGTTGTTCCATCAATGGTTAAACGACTTGAAACTCTTCTTTTTGATGAATATTCTCCTCATTATGATTGGATTATTATTTTAGATGGAACAAATGATTTAGGTTATCGAAAATCAGCTGAAAAAATATTTAATGAAGGTTTAAAATTAATGTATGATATGATTCTTGAAAGAAAAAATCAAAATACAAAATTATCCGTTATGACAGTTATTGAAAATGGTTATTACACACCTGAACATATTCATGATAAACAAAGACAAATTTTAAATGAAATGATTAGAAATTATGTTAAAAATTATCAAGATCAAAATAGAATATGTCTTATTGATCTTGATAAATATATAAGTTATCATAGTATGAAAGATATTAATCAACGAAAAGCTATTTGGGATGATCTAATTCATTTAACAGCAGCTGGATATGATCTTATGACAAATATTATTTTTCAAGATATTTATAATAAAATAAATCAACAATCATGAGATTTATTTTTATTCAACTTTTTTTATTAGAATATTTTTATAAAAGTTTACCATAAGTGAATGACTGTTCAATTTTCTTTTGTCTTATCTTGATAATATTCTGACAAGTAAACCAACAAATATTCATTTTTATTTTAATTTAACATTGTCAATAAGACTTTCAATTGATTTAAGTTTAACATGAAACTTATCTTTTTCACCAGAAGAACGGAGTGTTCACAATTTTAGGAATACGATTCTGACAAAACCAAAAGAAAATGTTGAAGTCTGAGTGAAGATCTGAAATTGTATTTCATCAATGTATGGTAGCCTTTTTCCAATATGAGTAAATAATGGTACAAGATTTCAATTACCGGTTGTGCCAAAATGTTTGCAACATTTTTTATTTCGCATGTAGCTTGACCTAGGTATATGATAGAATCTAGAACTTTTTTAAAAAGATGTGCCGTGAAAAGCTCTACAAAAATGGCAATAAAAAAATCCATATTGCAAAACAAAAACGTCTTTCAAACATTTTTATCATGTTCAATACAGTGGGAAGTAGCATTTTCATGTAGGTTTTTCATTTTAAGTATGGAAAAGATCATAGACATAAGTCAACAGGAATTTGCTATTACCATTTTTGTAGAGCTTTTCACGACACATTTATTAAAAAAAGGTTCAAGATTCTATCATTTATCTAGGTCAAGCTACATGCGAAACAAAAAAATGTTGCAAACATTTTGGCACACCCGTATTTCGGCGCTCTACAGTAGCTTACTACAGGGTTAGGTTTTTAAGCTGCTGAGAAATAGCTTACAAAGCCAAAAATTTTCACATGAGCGTTGTTTTAACATATAAAAGATAGCAGCATTTTCAAGTCTCCAAAGATAAAAGTTTATAGTAGTTTTCAATGCTTTTCATGATAAGTACTGGAAAGTGCTTATCAAAACATATTGTAAGCTATATTAAGCGGCTTAATTGGTTGAAACTACTGGCAGCAGCTTAAGACCGTAATGTTTAAGCGCATTAAAGCACTTGATTGAAGTGTAAGCTTATTTCAGCCACTTCAAAGTAGCTTACAGAGGCAAACATTTTCACATGGGTTTCAGCTTTTTCCATGGAAAGTGCTTTAGGAAATAAAAATCTACAGCACTTTTCATGATGAGTGCTGGAAAACGCTTCTCAAAACGCATTGTAAGCTATATTAAGCGGCTTAATCAGTTGAAACCGCATTCAACAGCTTAAGGCCATAGTGTTTAAGCGATTTAAAGCACTTAATTGAAGTGTAAGTTTACTTGAGCCGTTTAAAAATCGGTTACCAAGGCAAAAATTTTCACATGGATATATTAATAAAAAGAAAAAAAGATTAGTCGCTTCTTTTGTTTTTTTTTTATACTAAACTTGATACTTTCAATAAATGATTATGCATGGATATCAAAATTCAACAGTTTCTAAAGGAAGTTATTCAACAGTAGCATTTTGAAAATATTACTTGAACTTTTATTTTATTATCCAATGGAAAATCGACGGTAATTGGCTGAATGAATCCAGTGAAAAATTCAAATTGAGTCAATTAAATAAATTCAAAAATTTTAATTATGCTTAAAATAAGATTGACAACAAAAAACAGAATAAGAATCATCTTTTTCTAAAAATATTTTTTAAAAAATATTCCGAACATATATTTATTGTATTTAACGATTTTTTCCGTCTAAAAAAAAAGCAAATATCAATATGATTATGTTTAATGAAAAACTTTTATTAATTCTTTTTCAAATTTATTTTTGGATTCTATTTTTATATAAAACGACGAATAATAAATCTATTTCATAGAGATCTATTCGAATAATTCATTATGTTTTGTGCCATTATATCGATAGATGAAAAAAGAATTATCTTTATTGATGAAGAACATTAGATTAATATTTTTGTAATTGAATAATTATATCAAAATAATGACAAAATCATATTAGCATAAATAATGTTTGCATAGTTTTGTATATACTTTAGAACACATACATCTGTTGAATCTGATTTTGAACTCAACGAATGTCTATGAGTTAATCTATATACAATTACATCTGTTGTCTAAAACAAAATACTCATCTGTGTCATTTTCAGATATAAACTAATAGAAATAAAACAGAAAAATAATCAACTAATTTTTTATCTTAGATAGTAAATATCGAATAACTCTTCTTAGTTTACTGGTTGGTCTTGAAAATACTCATTAAATTATATTATTATTCATTTTCCCATGGCTTTTTTTCTTTTCTTTTCTTTCAACTGGCTATAAGAAAAAGAAGAGGTCATATTTGTCTCTTAGCTATTAATGATATTCTACTTTGTTGATTCGATTGTAGATAGGATATGTTTTTATCTGTTAACAATTTGATCTTTCGTTGATGTTGTGATGCCATTCAATCTATATTGATCATATTTATCATTAATATAACTCAAATGTATTTTATTATATGCGTCTGCTAATACTTATCTATAAAAATATTTTCTATAATCGCTGTTGATCAATATGACATTTGCCTTATAAAAGTAATTAGAATAAAAAGGAAAAGGACAATAAACAACGTCAAATCAATATTTTCTAATACGGATATAGATTAATAAAGCAAAGAAAAATGGGGTTAGTACTTCATACACAATAGATACAAAATGACAATTATATTGTCCTTGTTTTTTTTACAACTCGTCACTTGTTATTTCTTCTTTATTTTATTGATAAAAATTTTGATGTGATCTATGTAAGGCAATGATATTTTTATTTTGTAAGAAAAAGAGAAGAAAGAAATAAAGTACATTTGTTATCAAAGTAAGGTAATATTAAATTGATCGTCTTATTTGTTATTTTCTATAAAATAAAATTAATTAGTTAAATATATATTTATAGATTGTTCTATTCATCATTTCATCGTTCAGTTCTATGATTACTCAAGCAAACAAAAGCTTCTCAAAATGTGTTTAAACGTCTTAAACACGATTCTCGTTTGATCATTTTCATATCGAATCAGTAAACAGCAAAATCGGCTACTTTCATCGTAAAAGATGTGTCAAGGCATTTAAAAAGGGCAATTTTTCCATCCGGAAAACGTGTGAAAATTTTTTTTCCGTAATAATTGTGACGTATTTTACAGATAATAATGACTTTTTTAATGTATCGTCTATGTCAAGCATATTGAAAGAAAATTTTTTGAACATTTTTCCTTATGAAAAAATGACTTTCTTTTAATTTTTTGACACGTTCTGCATTATGAAATTAACTAGTTTTGATGTTTTCTAATTGAATGTGAAAATGTTCAAAGGAGAATCGTGTTTAGAGTGTTTTTAAACATCATATACTCCGAAATTGGGTATGATTAATATCTTTCGATGAAATATTTCATATTAACATATATAAATATGTCAATTAAGTTTTACAAAATAGTAATATTATTGTTTTTCTTTTTTTTTTTTTTTAATATTAAAAAGAATTCTTTTATAAATATTTATTAATTGAAGGAAGTTTTTCTTCTAAATGAGTATGTACTTTTTAATTAAACATAATCATTGAATAAGTTTTAAAAACGTTTATATTAACAATGAAACCCTTTTTCCTAATTATTTTATTGAAGACAAATGTTTTTTTGTTTCGTAATAATTATTATTTATGTTTTATCTAAAATACGAGATAAATAATGCACAAGTTTTGTTAGCCTGACAGAAAACATGAGTTTTCTGTCAAATTTGATGTTATACGAAATGTATAATAAGAACATTGATCTATTATTTCATCTATCGAGATAAGATATACAATATCCTTATCAAAAATTAGTTAAATTAACATTGAATTAGAATATTATCTTAGTTTACCAAAAAAACAAATCAAAACAAGAAAAAATAAATTCAAATATTCAAAGTAAATAAAACATTTTTTTTCTTTTTCAAAAAAATCTTGTTTTGTTTTTGTTTTTTAATTTTTACTTTGTTAATAAGATAAAGTTAACTATTATATATTAATCTCGAGATATTTTTGTATAATATGAAAAACAAATTATAATCTCTAATTACGAAGAAAAAGAGAATGATCATTATATTTCAATTGATATTGAGTTATTCAAGAGAAAATAACAAGTATTAAAGATAGGAGGAAAAAAAAACATGCTAATTAATTCCGTTCAGTGATAATATAATGTCGACTACCAGGCATTATAAACTGTTTTCTATCTATTTGTTTTCCTTAACGAACCAATGAAAGATCATCTTGAGAGGTTATTTTGCTCTAGAAATTTTTATCTAATCTATAAATATAAAAGATAAAATAATGATTTGTTTTTTCTTTTTGATATACTTATCAATAATTGTAAGAAGATTTTTTTTAATTAAATTTTTCTTTTCAATAGAAAATGAAAGAAGATAAACTAGATATTAGTTAATACATAAGAGATTAAACTATATTATTTGAATCATTATTCATTTTTATTTATCTCATAAATATTATTTTATAGAAGAGTCAAAAATGATAGAGAAAAAAAACCGTTTTTTTTTCCACAAGAATAAATTGAATATATTTATGACACGAGAAAATGACTGACTTTTACAGATAAAATCTCATATGATAAGGTTAATCAAGTTCTTTCTTCTCGCAGTTCATTCAGCTATTAAATGCAGTTAGCCATACATAATTATGTTATTTTAGAAGACTTTTTCAATCTATTTTTTTTTGATTGATCTTATTATTAAAACTATTATTATTATCTTGATCATATCACTTAGCACAATGATGAAGGATCGCTTGATTAATTCAGTTTTATCTATTTGATTGATTATCTGAATATGGCATAAATATTAAACTTATGGAATAAAGTAAGTAGAAAATAATTCTGATAAATAGTCATCTAAGATAATTAGGAATATAGAATTGTATTTTGGAATGATAATCGTTTTTCATAGGAACTTTTTAATAAATGATATGAAATTAACTTGCTCAGTTAAGTTCTACTAGTCTATGAAGATTTTTTTGTTTCTAATAAAAAAAAACTTCTAAATCTTCTATGATTTAATGTATTGACAATATTTATTAAGTCAATTATGTATAATTGAATTGAATCGATGAAAAACAGTGCCTAATTATTAAGTATTGTTATCAAAATAATCATGTTTTTAGTGAAATATTAGTTGAAACATAGTTTTAACAAATGTCTTAGAACAAATGGATTGTATGTGACTAATTTTATCTATTAACTCAATAATTTCCTAGAAGAAAAATTTGATTAATTTTATCTTGTAAGCTTTGAACTAATAGATTTTATTAACTTATTTGAATTTAAACAGAAAAAAATTATTTTTTTTTAATATTTCTTTAATAATTATCTTTTACATATTTAATTAGGTTATTCTTTCAAAGATAAACGAAAAATTGTTTTTTGTTTTTGATAAATGTTCTAAAGAAGAAGAAATAAAATTATCAGTATAAATGAGTTGAAGATATGTATTGAGATAATCCATACATTTATTCTGATTCAGCATAAAAAACTGCGTAGAAAAATGTTATTTATTTAGATTTAGAATTAATAAGGTTAAACCCATCTTTGTGTATACTTGTAAACCCATCAAGATTTTGTAACAAGAGTTAGAAGCAAGTGTCTTATCTTATTGGAATCGTCAGATCGTGAACTATAAAAGTGCTTATTTAGTTGTTTTAGATTCTGTTTTATTGTTGAGAAGATTGAATGTTTTCCTGTTTGATGATAATATTAGACGAAATGTGCTCGTATTTAGCAGTTTTTATTATCATGATACAGTCGAAAAGCTATGTAGATAACATATTTGGAATCAGCGTCAAAAACTCCATTGAATCATGTATGATTGAAAAATCGATCTCCCGAGAAGACTAGGGAGAATATTTTAGAAAAATAGACCTGAGCAGGATCCCAATTGTATTTTCCATCGAAAACATTTTTTCATAAAACACATATGATTCGATGCAGTTTTTGAGGGTGATTCGAAATATGTTACCTACTTAGCTTTTCGACCGTACCATGATAATAAAGACTGCTAAATACAAGCACATTTCGCCTAATATTACCATCAAACGAAAAAAACAAAATCAATTTTCTTAACAATAAAAAGGAATCTAAAAAAACTAAATAAGTACTTTTGTGGCTTATGATCTGGTGACTCTAATGAGATAAAACATTTGCTTTTAACTTTTATTACAAAAACCTAGATAGGTTTACGAGAATATTCGCAATTGATCGAATCAAAATAAAAAGTAAATATTCATAACCAACTCGTCAAGCTCCCTGAAATCATTTATAAATCAACGAGAAAAAACTTCACTCGAGAATATTGTATACCTCGCAGATTATAATTATTGAGCTATATTATTATGTTTATTTAGAATAAATATCTTTTGAATTAATAAAATAAAATAAAATAATTTATTTTGAAGAATTAAACGTGTTTTGTTTTTTTTCTATAATATGATACAAAAAGTAAAGATGTCTTCATAGATTAAACAGGAATGAAGAATGAAAATTAAAAATAATATTCTTTGAAAGAATAAATAACGGACGGTTGAAAGGTTTTTAGACAAAATATTTGTTCATTTTTGACCTGTGAGAAAGTATTTCCGGCATCTCAAAAACTATGGATTAGGATCAGAATTTTGTGCTCTTTCTGAATATGGGCGTAGACATTTTGTCTTAGTTTTTGTTTGAGAGTAGTGAAATAATCTTTGAAAAGTCATAAAATTAGTTTGAAAGAAAAATTTTTTCTGCACATTTTTATATTTTCATTGTTGCGATTCGAAACTAAACTTTATTTATATATCAGCTTGTAGATCAGAAGTTACCATACGAAATGTACTATTTGAGATTGATTTGTTTTTCGACAAGGCACCTCAATTTTCGTTTTTTTTCTAAATATTCATTTTGGAAAAATTGACTTTTTCACCAAAAAACATTTTGCATAGGAACAAACTATTGACAAAATACATGTAACTTCACTCGAGTAAAAGCTGCAGTTTAGCTCAATATTACATTTTGTAGAGGAATGTCCACTCTACAAAATGATCGACTCCAACAATTTTTAGCATATTCGAAAAGGGAGTACAGTTTAGTATAGCCTTCCCCCCTTCCATTACAGAAATTAACACTTAAGGATATGGATGAGAGTGTTCATCGTAACTTCATTTACATCTGCACTCACACTACATCGAGTAAAATCTCACCCTACGTTAATGTAATATTTGCTTATAGTTTAATATTTTAGACTTATCAGATCATGAAGAACATCTCTAACAGATGAGGGAGCTATATTAAACTGTACTCTGAAAAGGGACTTAAAAGTTGAAGAAAAATCTATTGGTTCACCATTAAAAATAAATTTCCAAGTCTTTCAAAAAGTTCTTCACTACTATTGAACAAAAATACACACAAAATTTCTAAGCTCATATTCAAAAAGAGTACAAAATTCTGATCATAATCCATAATTTTTGGCATGCAGGAAATAGTTTCTCATAAGTCAAAAATGAAGAAAGACTTTATCTAAAAACTTTTTCAATCATTCATTATATTTCAGAAAAATAATACAAAAAAAAAAGTGTAATAATGGATAAAAGTCAAAATAAATTAAACATTTCAATGAATATAAATGTAAATATTTCAATGAATATAAATGTAAATTATGTATTAACATGTTTATTTATTTTAATTGCAATAATTGGTATATTGGGTAATTTATTAGTAATAATATCAGTTCAAGTTGATTATAATATGAGACGATCATTAACAAATCGTCTTATTGTTCATGTTGCTTGTTGTGATTTAATAATATTATTATTTAATATTCCTGATATAATTCAATTTGTTTCATCAACAAATGGAAATTGGATATTAAATGAATTATGTTGTAAATTAATTCGTTCAATTCTTGTTTTAGCTCAATATGCATCTGTATTAACAATGTGTGCTGTTACTATTGAAAGATTTATTGGTATTGTTTATCCACTTCGTTCGAAATTTTTACATGAAAAAAAACATTTTACTCAAATAACATTTTTTGTTTGGGTTTTTTCATTATTATGTGTATCACCAAATATTATTTATTTACGTGTTATAACAATATCTTCATCACGTCGTTCTTGTCTTCTTCAATATTCTACAGAAAATATTTTATTACATCAAATTCAATATATTATTCATAAATCAATTGAATCGACTATTTTCTATTTTATTCCACTTTTATTACAATTATATTGTTATATCAGAATAGTTAATCAATTATCTAATGTTGATCATACACTTCATCATTCTTTTCATTTAACTAAAAAACATAATATTCAACGAGTACAGATTAGATTTTATATAATTTATAAAAATAAATAATAAATTTCTTTTTCTTTTATAGAATGATATTTATTATGAAGATGATTATATTGACAATTATGGAAATATCGATAGTAAAACAACGATAGACAATTCATTTGTAAATTCATTAAATGATCGTCATAATAATAATTGTCGACAAAGTCGTCCTCTATCTCTAAAAAATGTTCCTGTATATAATAATTCTTCATTATCAAGTATAAAACATCGTCAAGAAACAAATGATTATTATAAATCGAATGTAACTTATAAAGCATTAAAATCTCGTCGAAGTGTTATTAAAATGTTGGGTGTTGTTGTTCTTATTTATTTTATATCATTTAGTCCTCAAGTACTTGTTTTTATTTTATTTGATACAAATGCAATTCGACCTGCTCCACAATTTATTCAAACACCTTATTTTATTGCTTTTACAATGCTTTTAGTAACAATTAGTTCAGCATCAAATCCAATTGTTTATGCTATTTTTTGTTCGAAATTTCGGCAAAGTTTTGCAAAAATTTTTCGAAGATTATTTTTTTGTCATTGAAAAATATTTACTTGAAATTTAAATCAACGAGCAAGATCATTACAACATATACATAAATAATCAATAATAAAAAAGAAAAATAAATTAAAAATAAGATTAATTCTATTCAACTTACAAAATACAAATGATTTATCTTCATGAAAACTTCTTTTTTTT